CGTGGTGCATACAATGGAAGGTCGCGACACACGCTTTCGCCAGAGGGGGCGCTATGGAGAGAAAAGCATCATCTGTAGCGTAGTTTGATGTTCTGGGGGTACTAAGTCGTCCGCTCGATCCAGTGTGGTGTTGTGGTTGAGTGGTAGGAAATGTCGGTTAAGAAAGATGCGGGACTAATGTCAAAACGATACATGAGGACAATAATGGCGATAAAGACTCGAAATCACATATGAAGTCTGATAAACTTCCCCAGCAGAGCATCTTAAACATCATTACGAGTGACTTCCCCAAAGATGTAAACGTATTTTCCTGAAATTAAAAGGCATGATGGACAATCACACAGTCTTTAGGGTAGGTTCACCAAGAGCAGACGGTCATGTAATTCTTCTCCACACAGCTTGCAACAGAACACACAACTGCATGGCGAGTAAAAGAAGTTATACTATCTCCTCGGAGTAAATTTAGGAATTTAGTATGTCTTCATTCATTATTCAGAAATTTGAAGGGACAAGAACCTCATCCTGTTCCATGAACAAAAACGGTTGACAAAGACGACATGTAGTCCATGATCCCCTGTTCAGTTGCCGCTCCAGAACACATGATTGGCCAGAACAACCGCGCGCATAACTTACAGTCCCATCCTTTGTTTGTACATGTTCCCCATATCACAAGCACTTTCTCATCGGTTCTACCTTTCATATTGAGTGAATAAGTCTATCTGGCCCTTTGCATGATGTCTGACACTCCGCCACCTGAGCGCGAAACCTCTCTACATCATCAATCCCTACACCTTCATCCTCTTCCACGGTCTGGTCTCCAACGACGAGATATCTGGGGGAATTGCTTGAAACTGACACGACTTCCTCAAGAGACGCCGCCACCACCCTGTTAGAAGCCCCCCAATTTGTCTTATATGCTTCAAACCATTGTCGGCCAACCGTATTTGAGCGCTCAATGTTCATCATGAGGTCTGATACCCCTTGGCTTGATGACCCCATACTTTCGGAACGACTAAAGAGCGGGCTCATTCTTCAGCAGAGGCTCGATAAGCCACCAAGAAGGAGTTTCGGAAGGTGAGATCAGAGACCGTCATTGTTGGAGAGCTGATCCAAGGTTGCGCGATGTCGCTGGCTGAGCTACTGACGCTGCAGGACTCGGTTTGCTGGGGTACATGGATATGAACAGCTTGTAGCGCTCCAAGAGGCTCATGAGGCGGATATCGAAGATGCGCGATGGAGGGATAGAGTTGCCTGTAGCAGGCTGAAGTTCAACCCTTGGGCGACCTCATTTGATGCTACAGCCACTCAGGCTCTCTTGTCCGTGACCACGGCGAATTGGACGAAACGATAGCAGTAGGGATGGGTTTGGGCTCGGTGCAGATGATGCGGGATGCCGGGAACGACGCGAAGTGGGAACACTATGAGGACCAACAACGTTAGTGTAAGACTCTTGATCAAATTGATGGCATCGTCATTTTCATCATCACCAAGACCGGCTAGGAGAATTCTTTGCTGAGCGTAACAGTTTGACCCTTGTGAAGGCGGACAGGCTGCGAAAGCGTTCCGTGTCGCCACGGGAGACGGCCACCCCTGGAGACCAGTCACCTTCTCACTCGGCGGTGCCCTTGGTACTTTTGCTAACCTGCGCCACTCTCTCAACAACAGTTCTCAGTTGACTGGAACTTGATCTCACCAAGTGACACCGGCGCTCTGGAGGGGGGCTGCTATCGAATAAGCGCAAGTTGGGGTAAAGAGAAGGGGCGTGACATACTGTGATCTTGGACTGCAGCGTCGATAGCATCTTGGCTCCTTCGAACAGTCGTTGTTTCTGGGTCACAATGTCGAGTTTCCGTCGAGTGCGTTGGACTGATACACAGCAACCCCCTTTCGAGCCAGGAGGACCATGGGGAAGGAGATGCAGCACGGAAATCGAATTCTCTCGATGATCTGACAGCCATCTCTCGTATCGATATCCACCCATAATTCGCGTTACACCTAGTCGAGGGGGCAATGAGCGTTGAGGTCTTTCTTGAATGCCTTCAAAATGGGCTTCTTGTCAAGAATCCCATCCTGCTTGAAGTTTTTTAAGCAACCTTTATCGCCCTGTCAGAAGTGGGGTCGCAAAAAGGGACTGCCGATGTCTCTGAGATTCTAGTTTAGATGTTGAAGATGTTGCCATGAATGTTGGTCAGCGCGCGGATCCTTGAAGCTCGACAACTCCCTTCCGCCTCCAAGAAGCCGTACGCTGCTGGTAACCGAGTACAAGTGGGAGCGTAATAAGAAGCCACAATACGAAGAAAAAGTGGTTCGTCCAGCTTGCATATGTCACTAAGGTGACAGCGCCCCTGAGGCAGGCCGGCGGAGGCTATCCCAAAAGTATTGTGGGTGAACTACTGGCTTCGGAAGCATAATTGATGCTCCTTGAGTTACATCTTAAGCGTGAAGTAGCGGTCAAGAGGTGGTTCCGGTAGAGGCAGCAGTGAATTGATGGCTGCTGCTTCGGCGCCAGCGCAGTCGTGTTGGCTGGGCTTGTTGGATATCTCATTATTGAACTCATGATCTGCTGAAAAGTATTAGAAGTGTGGCAAATATATCAGCGTGAAGTTGGCGTGCCATTGACGGCGTCGTCGCTTTCCCGTTGAGATGATGGTAGTCTCGTCTTTTGCCCCAGAGAGAGGAGGCGCGGCGGTCACTCTTTGAGAGTTCAATGTTGAAGCAGTTGGGAGCCTTCGGATTCGACCTCTCTGAATAGCGGCACGCACAAGCCTGGATTAAGTCTCTGGCTCTCGGGTGCCTTTGACCGCGTTGATGACCCTCATCTTGAGAACTCTGAATGTGTCGGCTCATCTCTCGGGTTCATCATGCTTCTAAGTCTTGTCCCAGGCAGGCTATCATCGTCGAGTCGGATTCGGTTGTGTCGATTGTTCGAAGTTTGGGACGTTTTCAGCTGAGTCGAGTGTTGTTCTGAACAGAAGGTTAATAAGAACATGTTTTGAACATGAAACGAAGATGTTCACTCACCTCTTTCCGAGAGCTTCCATTGCTAAGAGTCCGAGATAAAAAGGTGTATCATAGAGAGACCCTCTTTCAAGCGCCGTATCATATTCCATGGCGAACCCTTGTTGATGGCACTCGCGGCAAAGTTCCACTCGTAAGGCGACGACTTGTAAATGCTCACGGGCGGCAAATCCGTGGCGAGTTGAACCAGATGCTAAGTACAAACTCCAACTAAGGTAAGGAAGCCGTCTTCAACTCAAGGGTTCGAGTGACACTGAATGTTCAATTCGTCTTGGAAGATCGGTAGCCGAGTGAAACTGTGTGATATAAAGTCGCAGATCCCTTTCGATGAAGCAATCTGAATTCTTGAGCCGAAAAGCTATTCAGGCGGCGAAGAGGTCTGTCGGTTGGGATATCAAGGACCTCTGGCGCCTGTATCGATGCCGGGCTGTCTTCGTGGGGCGGGCTGTCAGTGGAAGCAGGGTGTTAGTAGAAGGCCCCTGGGTGGCCTGGCCTGCACTGATGGAGGTCGATGAGTGGGGCAAGTTAACAAGAAGAGATCAACTCACTGCAGACAGGAACACGATGATCTCGTCTGATATGTCCAAGACGTTCAGACGAACAAGTGCTCGTCTGTTCATTGGCAGTACCAGTTTCTGAAGCATCCTCATTCAAAATGCAGCAATTCAGATCAATTCACAATACTACTGTCACAAATGTGAGACCAGAGCTACTTGTGATCTCCATCACCAAACCCGTAGTGGATATTCGTGGACTTGTTCAAGTGCCAGTGGGTAATGTCTAGATTCAAGAAGCTTGCAGAAAGGTCCATCTTCTGACCACCCCACCGAAGACGAAGCAGATCCGCGATCTTCCAATGTACTGATGTTTTGTTTCAAGACGAAATCTACATTCAGAGACCGCGCATCTCGGCATCCAAGGTTCGCTATCCACCACTACCTGCTGCAAGCCAACACCATGTCCCTTCTCCCCACGTCCAAGATACCTCATGATACAGAGCCTATCCAGTCTTAAGCGCTCCTTGGTCTTCGAAAGCGTTGGGTTCGTTCAAGTGTGAGATTGATATAAGGCGTAGAAATGTCGCTTCTTATTGGGAGCCCCTGAATCCAGGTCAGCATCAGATATTTTTGTCAACAAAGCTACAACAGGGACAGAGAAAGGGGATCTTACAGCTCCGGTTCAATGTCGTCAGATACCGCGAGTGAACTGAATAACGCCAAAGCCTCCACGTCCCCTCCACGTCCAAGTGTTCAATGGAGCCGCGGGCTAAGGCTGTGTTCAGCATGATGAGACTGAGCAGCGCCCAACCAACCCAAGTCAATTCTATGCAAGATCCAATGGCTTGCGCGCTTTCTAGTGACTTGTTGATTATTGTGATTAGACCGCCTGATGCCATATGTCTCGTAAGGTCGGAGGTGGTCAAGGTCGGAGGACGATGTGAAAAGGGGCAGAGGCCACTTTTATGCCAGCGATGAGATTATATGCTGCGAAATTGCACGAAATGTGGTTGTAACTGATTTTAGATGCTTCTATGGTGTTTTGCGGCTGTTGTTGCGGCTGTTGCTCATCCCTTGGTTGTGGCCAACATGGTGGCGGAGCTCACGACCGTCGGTGTTGGGATTTGTACTTCGTTTGAGCCAGGGTTCCTTTTCATTCAGTGCATGTATTCGTTCTAAGTCCAGTTGATCGCTAGATTGGAAGTGTCAAGGTTGTCAATGTTGTGTGTTGTTCGGCGAAAGTCAAAAGGGGTACCTCGGTCAAGATGAGGTGGACAAGGGGCGGCAGAGAGGACATAACACGAACTCTCAAAATACAGCTTTGGCACTCTTTTACAGCATTCATCTTGATCTCTAAGGTTCAATGTCTTAAAGTGGGGGCGGTACCGTTTTGCTTGTGGTCTTAAACACGGAGTGTCCCTTAGTCCAGGGCAGTGCCAGAACGCGAACACGGACCTTGTGCAGAGACGCGAGTGATTCTACCAAATGACCTTGGCCGCCCTCATACACAGAGAAGCCAACTGCAGCGCTTTGAGATCCAACCAAAGCCTCCCACACGCCATTGGCGAGGAGTGTATCCATAGATCTCTGAGTGTCAAGCTACCAGTAAATTGCATTTGCGAGGAGAATAGCAAAGTGAACTTATTGTCCAAACCTTCCAATCACACGATGCACATTCAAGTAACTGAACAATAGAATAGTACAGAACTGAGAAATGTGTTGGGGGGTCTGCTCAAGGCATCAGCTGCTCGCAGGTGACTAGATACGTGCCGGAAGTCTCCCCAGGGGCCAGACAACGAACTAACGACCACTGTAGCTCCCTTCCGGTGACACAAGGAGCTCCCCACGAGTGAATGAGAGCGTAGTGCCATTGTTGCCACTGGCAGAGACACGCTGCCAGTGGAAGAGGGCAGAAGCCCTCACGCAGGTCGGTTGCTGGGCCTTTATATTCTTCCCCTCCCACTTCTCCTCCATCTCTTCTTTTCTTCCTCTCTCATCCTCAAACATTTTTATCCCCTGTCCTCCAATACTTTTATCACATCAAATATAATTATCCTCAACAAATCCCAATATATATATACAGAGCCGCAAATGGCGTCTGGTCCCGGGTCCTGCACGGCTCAACCTACCGACAGTGAGTCACTGCATTTCCTTTTCTCTTATCGTGAGAACATCTCGAGCTTCTCTTCATTTTTCTCACCAAATCCCTTCCTCTCTTCCCTTGCCTCCATCCACGCGGTGCTCCGCGCTTCACTGATTCCCTTTCCCTTCTGAGACGCGAGCACACATACTCACCATTCATCTAGGGTCCCGGGCCAGCCACTTGAAGTGACTGCCCGTCCTTCTTGTGGTCTCCGGCACCAGAGGGAGTGCAACTCCCTCTGGTGCCGGAGAACGTCATATGCGGTGCGCCCGGCTTCCGGTCAAGCAATCTGGGGAGAGGACTGCCTAGTGCAGAAGTTCCGAAAGGGCCTTTGGCTCGACGGCCAGAGCCAGGCTTCCGAGGACCCCTTCGTTGATGGTGGCCTTGCTCAGGGCAGCACTCTTTCGGCCACGGCCTCTTCCTTCCAGCCCATCGATCAGAGGTTCAAGGGAAAGAATGCACTTGTCGCTCTGAGCCAGGGTATGGACATCTCAGCCGGTAAGTCATACTGCCCTTGCCTCTTTCGCAATCAATCCTGACCTCTGACAGATCAATCAGACACAGATTACACTTCCGGCAACCTCACACTGAACCCCCAGCCCGCCTCGTCAACATCTTCACCAACTTTACTCTGTTCACATCTTCCCCGACACACTGGGTGACTTCTCTTCCCCAACATACTGGGTGACTGGCCGCCTTACAAGGGCCGCCTGGCTAAGAACGTGGAGTGTCGTGTCCTAGTCGACGTGGTCGGATTTAACAAATACCATCTTGCCCAAGGAAAACGCGAGAACAAGGACCCAGAGATTGAGGTCCACCACCGTGGCTCCCGTGGGTTGAACAACATCGTCGACCTTGGCGAACTCATCGCCGGACGTGATGCCCGGACGACAGTAAGTACATCCCACCCTCTCTTCCATCACACTCACAACTGACGTCTTCACAGATCATGCTTCAGAACATTCCCAACAAGGATGGCCAACCTCCTTCGGCGCAAGTTGCCGGCGTCTCTCTTTTGGGAGGCCCGGTTGCTTGTTTCGACTCAGGTTGGCTGGAATTGTTTGGTGACTTGGTTGTGAGCCGCTTCGCCCCCCGTCGCAAGGCGGGTGAGTGACGGCCCTGACTCTCGGGGCCTGAACAAGAAGCGGTGGGGGAGTCATGGTGGCCGTAAGTTCTCCCCTCTCTTTTCTCATTCCGCTTCATTCTAACACGTCATGGCCAGGCCCGTCGCTCGGTCTACGGTGCTCACATGCTGCCTCGCACTACTGAGTTCGGGGTCACCATCGAGGAGGCCCGCCACCTGAAGCAAAAGCAAAAGGCCGCCAACGCCGGCAAGGGAGTTGCTGCCCAGGACGCCGCCACCCAGGATGGGGGTGGCATCTGGTGTGGCACCCAGAACAACAACCTCATCTGAACGCACCAATCCTAGACGACCAACGAATTTATGAGCTTACGAAAGTCACAACAAGGAACGGTCTTTGAGATCTGCGACACGCCGACCCCTTCTAAGTTGTGTCTGCTGCTTTGAGCTCTCAGCCACAAGTCTCAACTGCAAACAACACATCACTTCATCGGTCTTGATCTGGAAAGCTCCCTCAGCTTCTTAAAGAGTACCGGGAAGCCTGTGATGATACCAAAGTCATCTCGAGTCGCCACCCCACCATCACCAACATCCTTACCTCCCTTCATCAACATCTTTACCTTTTCTTGCCTCCGCAATCATGTCATATATTGTTCATTGCTCGGCCAGATCGCAGCATTGAAGCCCCACGGGGTGTGTCCTCTCGACTCTCTATATATACCGTGCCATTGATCGCAACATTGAAGCCCCACGGGGCCTGGCCTCTCGGCAGCACAGCAGTCATTCGCTTGTCATCACCGACCCAACTACTCATTCGACTCGACTACCCCGTCCGTTCAACCTCAAAGGGTGCGCAACAAAGGACTTGATGAAATCATGATTTCCCATCAGACTGGCGTGCCGCGACTTCAACGCCGCCACTATCAACGATATCTTCCCGTGCTCCGAAGGGGTGGTGTCGAGAGAAGAATTCGCCGAGCGGCCAGACGGTATCTCGTATTTTCCACTTGACTTGCCGCAACTGTGACTGCCGCAACTGTGAGAAGCAAGGACACTTCTGCCGGGGTAAACTCGAGAAGCCAACATTAGTTCGGCTCTCTATCCCAACTTTTACTATACTATACTATACTCATCTCACGCCACCAACAATTGGTAAGTCTCCTCACCCCTCTCTCCGATATCGATCTCGTGCTAATATTTCTGTCTAGTCATGTTCTTGTGATCGTCGAGCTCATACCATTTAATTGCCAAACGGACGACTAAAGGAGCGAACATCAGTTCCGCTCTCTATCCAAGTCTGGATCAAGTCGGCTTGTCGGCGATCACCAGCAACTGGTAAGTCACTTCAACCTTTTCATTAACATCGGCTCATCGCTAACTTACAATTCAGTCTTCTCCCTCTAGATTTCACACTACTTCGGTTCACTCCTGCCGCTCACCTCGACAATATCACATACCCATTACAGGTTCTCTCAGCCGGAATAAGCTCTCAGCCACAAGTCTCAACTGCAAATAACACTTCTCTGCAGGGACCAGAATTGTCTGTTCAGGCAGAAAGAGCGAGAGTTGAGATGATTCGAAGTGCGAGATGGGTTGGTGGTGAAGGAATCAATCGTAGTCGAAGCGGGACAGTTTGGGATGGTCAGCGCACATAGCTAGCAAACAATTTAATGTTCAGGATATCAATTAGAACACACTTCTCCCACCACGAGACATTTGTAAATTCCGCAACGTGAACTGTCCACCCCGCCTCATTACCACTAACCTCCGTCCACTCTGAGAATTGAACATCTTTCTCCGCACCAACTCATTCGGTGGACATGCTCAGACTTACCGACCGCCCTGCACAGCGGGTAAAAGCAAGCAACCGCTGTCAACACAACTCGTGGCCCTCGCCATGAGGAGAAGAGGTCCCTTTCGACAACATGTCACCCTTCTTCACATCAACCTTTGCCCACACGTTCAAGAAAAGTACCATTGGTGATGTCGTCACACTGTTAGGCAAACCTGGCTAACCTTTCATTCATTATTCCAGACAATCGATGCGCAGCTCCCAACCACGAACCCGTTCTCCTCCTGTCCCGATGATACCCTCGACAACCGCTGCACCTCACGACCTCTTTCCAGTAAGTGTTGCGCAAAGCCACCTCCCATTCCACGCCGCCAAAAGCTATACTGAATTTTGGCGCAAGTCGCAGAGACTCAGAACTATCTCTGAGCGGCTTCGGTTTGCCACCTTTCCAACAAACGAAGATCAGTTCAATACCTCATATCGAGAAAGGGTACCTTGCGAAAGTCGAAGAATCGAAGATCCGACAGTGTTCTTCCGACATCGTCAGACCTCGTTTCTACTCTCAGTGCACTCGCCGACAATAACAGCTTTTCAGCGACCTGAAGATACTTGAGCTGGTCAGAGTCATACCGCAGGTTCTTCGTCAGTCCCCTTTGAACGGAGCAAGCACTTCACGATCACACTCCGACTGGCTGTCCTGGGTCAATCTTCCCAACCGAGCGCTTGAGAATACCAAGCCTTGTTTCCATCGTGAGGTTGATCTCCTTTCTTTTCGGGCTTCTCTTCTGACGTCCTGTTCACAGATTCATCCTGCTCGCTAGCCGAAGCTCAGTCCCCGGTCCCGGCTTCAGACTACATGTGAGCAACCACCATCTCACACGGCCCGAGGCAAGACTAGAGGATCAAGAAGCTTTCCATCGATATTGCAAAGTCCACAGAGGTCTCTGTCAGCGACACTGACTATCTCGAAGCGTCAGTTTGTTCCAGAACGCCTCACAGGAGGTCGCAAGATTTACAGGCGCTGTCGAGCCACATCGGATTCCAACGCTCAACGCAGCACATGCGCAATGCGGTTTAGGGCTCCTTGTCAAACATTTAGCCTAAGTGAAAGAAGACTTAGCTGACTTAGTATAAGTTTAGGATATCTTTTGCAGAATTTATTTGAATTGCCTTGTCTTCCCCCTAAAGGACTCAACTACGATATTGTTCCTCTCATCAACTCACAGGAGTGGCTCTACTCGACATCACCAGTATTTGCAACTCGTGTTCATTAAAGTAAAGTATTCAATCTAAGCTAACAAATTGGTATCAAGCAAGTCTATAAACAAAGGAAAATAGAAATTTGGCAAAGCCGGATATCAAAAGCCCCTTAAAAGATCGTCCATCATGTCCCTCCTTTCATGCTGTATATCCATCCATCCATCAGCTCCTAATGGCTCTTGTGTCCATTAGTATTAGCACCCTCCTGTCCAACAGCGTTAACACCAGCATTCAACTTCCCAAACTGCCACTCCGGCAGTGTAATCCCCGTCTGCTCGTTAATAGTGCTCATCAGCGGCGGCAGCATCTGATACACATTGCGCATCGTCTCAGTAGCATCACCACCACCCTGACCACCAGCCTGGTTTCCAGTGTTCCACACGCTGATCTTGGGCTCCAGACCGCGAATGGCTGCGGCGTTGGCCTTGGCCAACTCGACGTACGTGCCCTTCTCGATCATCATGTACTGCAGCAGACCAGCGGGACCGCCAAAGGCCGTGGACAGCTTGCCGTAGGCGTCGGCCATGGCGGAGATACCCTCTGCCTCGCGGAGCTTGCTGACGAGCTCGGCCTCCGCGCGCTGCTGGGCGGCGTAGTTGTAGGCTTCGGCCTCGTTACGCGTCTGGTAAGCCTCGGCGTCTGTGTTCCTTGTGATCTTGGCGTATGTTGCTGCCGCGTCGGCGTCGGCGAAGAGCTTGGTCTGGTAAGCTGCAGCATCGGCCTTGCGCTGGCTAGCCTCCTGGCGAGCGCGCGCATCGGCCTCGACCTCGTATGCAGCTGCATCGGCAGCCTGTTGCTTACTCTCCCTTGCGATGGTAGCCTTGACGACATCTGTGGCGCGAAGACGTTCCATCTCAGCAGCAGCGCGCTTGATCTCGACCTCCTTCTTGAGATCTTCATCCTTGGACTCAAGGGTACGCTGGGCTGTGACGCGGGCGATGTCGACATCTCGAGTGAGGCCTGTGCGCTTGGTGTCGAGCTGTGCTTCTGCTTGGGCACGCTCGATATCACGGACTGTCTTCTGCACAGCAGTCTCGGCGTTGATCTTTGCGATCTCGCGCTCTTGCTCACCCTTGCGCTGGGCTTCTCCGACGTTACCGCGGAGTTGAGCCTCTGCGACGTCGATTCTAGCTTGGTTGGTCGCACCCTCGTGGGCTTTGCGGGAGAGCGAGGCGAAGTAGACTGAGTTAGGGGCATCCTTCAACTCTTTGACCTGTGGAGTGTTGGTTATCGTTCGGGCAAGCAGGGCTGGGGAGACGTACGTTGGCGTTGAAGATGAGCAGACCAAACTGCGACAGCTCATTCTGAATGTTTCGGAAGATTCTCTTCTTAAAGACCTCTCGCTCAGTGAAGATCTCCTCCATAGTCATGCTAGACACGAGGACTCGAGTTTCACCCTCAATGATACCCTTGACGATGTTGGCAACATGCTGGCCCTGAGTGACATTCTCCTTCTCCTCAGAGTTGGCCAATAGCATAGCATACTTCATCAAAGCGTCCCCCCGGTCCTCGCGATCAAGACCATCGGCTTCGCTGTCTGCATCAGAGCGGTTGGCCCCGCGCTGGTTGACATCGGGACCCACTGTGAAGACAACGGGGAGAGAGAACTGCAGCTTCTCCTTGGTCATGGCCTGAAGGTCCATGGCATAGTCGTGAGGGCGGATACTGAGTGGGAGTTAGTGAGTGTTGACTAATTAAAGAGGAGGGAGGAAGGAATACCTGAAGCGTGTGCATCGTTGGAGAGGCCAGACCCATGTTGCTTTTGTGATCTTGACGGTCTTGATGCCCATGCCAGTGATGGCAAGGTACTCATCGGGGGCAGAGATTCTGTAAGACATCCTGGGTGTAGTCGAAGGTAGAAGAGAGTGAAAGTGTAGTTGGGTATTGAAGTATAGAACTGGTCTTATGTGACCAGGTATAAGTACTTATAGTTGTTTGCAACGAGTGTTTATATCTCTAAAACCAATGTTAGAGAATTATTTAAATAGTATGATCAAAAAGGAATGTCTCACAAAGCGGACAAACACTCCCTTATATGCTTTCATCTTGACACAGGAACAGCAACACAAAACATGCATGTCTCAAAGCCCAACAAGGGTCATACTCCATGATGAATGTGCCTCGCTCCAAGCCAAGAGGTGGTGGCGGAGTCTGGAGTACCCCTGTCAATTCCCATATTCTGGAAGAATTCCATGTCCACAACGGGTATGCAATGCGGTCCCGTGATCAGATTGATTAGGGAATAAGATTAAAGAGGATGGGCTTGTGATGTGATGGCCGCTTGGGGAATGCCCGGGTTTGGTGAGGTTCTTTCGTGATGATGATGATGGTTGGGCGTTCTCGGGTGATCTACAGTGGGGTTCGCCTCTAAAGCATCACCGAAGCTCCAGGGCAACTGTGAACTCTCGTGTAAGTTGGCCCGGATCTTAGCAAAGGGTGTCAAGATAAATTCAGTAAACAATATCCTAGCCTTATTGTCACATAGGATCAAGGCTCTTCGACACATGACATGTTCCACTCCGTTTATTGGCAATGAGCTTGTCCCAAACCTACGTTCAGCCGCAAAGCACTACCAACACAGCCCTGTAAACGGATCACCTTTTTAATTTCCGCGCACCTCGCGGAATTCATCAATAACATAAACTGTCACTCAAGCATTCTCCTGCCGGTATCCGAATCAAGCATCTTGGCTAAACGCCCGGCCGCAATGCAATAGCTCACGTGCAGAAAACATGATTCGATGATTCTTGGAATGTCCCGACACCGCCAAGCCTCAAATTGCATGACTGAACAACCATCACTTCTGCTGCGCCACGATGAGTAACCAATGACCACCACGGGCACTCCTTCAGGCAGAGATGAAATGTGCAGCCCAAGGCTGTGACCCTCTTCTTTTGTGGTTTCGGCGATTGCTAGTTTGACGCTTTTGATACTACGCTTTTGAAGACGGGGCGATACAAGGCTGAGTTTGGTGGTCACCGAAGCGCTATTGATGGTGGGCTGACTGTTGGCCTCCACTAGGTCTGTATGTATATGCATCGGGCGTTTGGCATTTGTTGTAGCATTGACTAAACCTACGTCTTGCAGAATCTCCAGACTTGGCTTCTTCTCATTGCAACACAACATCATGTCTAAGCAAGACTCCTTCGATGACGGGGATCTTCCTCCCCCATACACTGAATCCGGCCCCTCAGCATCTTCACAACCACGACAGTCAGTCACGACTATCTTCTCCTCACATCTAAACAACCTCCCCCTACGCATCCAGTCCGTTCAAGCAGTTCGTAACTCAGCGCGCGATGAACGAGACAGTGAAATACTCACCCTTTTGGTGCCTCACATTGAAGATATGCTCTCATCAATAGCAGCCATGGACCCGCCGCCACGAGTCGTCGAGATGACCATGGTGCCGGAAGAAGCAGTTGGTGAAGGATGGTTCTTTAGCGATGAAGATCAGTCCCGAACTGTTGTGCGTGTAAGAGAAGATCGCAAGTTAGTAGGTGATTCAAAGAAACCTGTCAAACAAAGTGAACCTCCCAAGAGCAGAGCCTTTGACGAATGGGGACGATGGGAAGACGACACTCAAGAATCTACTTCAGACGACGTTCTCTGGTGGTCAGACCACGACATGGCAGTCCGTCTAGCAAAGTACATATCCCCAGAAAGAGTAGACCGTCAGGTCGTTAAAGCACACGTCGAACAAGCAAAGAAAGCGTCAAGATGGGGCTTGTTCAAGAAATCTGAACCGTCAACACCACCAGCGCCAGTAGTAAAGGCACAAGAGGAAGAACCGGTTACTATGACGGTCAAGGCTGAGGAGGTTACATTTCGGCGGGAGAACGAGATGGGTATTTGGGAGGGCAAGACAGGATGGGGCTTGGTGGTCAAGGTCAAGTTACGGCAGTGATGGTGCTGTTGGACATGGGCTGAGAATGAGGGCATTGTGAACACAGGATATATATAGAGTCTATTGGACAACAAAGACGTGAACATCGTCAGAGAACATCATCTACTAGTCAGTATCTTGTCAAGTTCAATTGCGGGTGTGATTCGGAAGCTTGAGTGAGTCTTCACTTTCGCCTGCATTAAACTGGCAAATCTTCTATTTCGTCAAGACACTTCAGACTCAGATGGTTATTCTTGGTAGAACAAAGCATTCTTCTTTAACCGATATTACTCAGTGACACATTGTATCATCTCGGGGTCTTTTCTGTGCATTGGCGCGCGGCATGTAATACAGTGGGTGGTGAAATCGAACCATATTTTCACAACTCACCAAAGGTGACTGTATGCTGACAGCACACTCTGAAGCTATCACCAACAACGATGTAAACACATCTAGCGATTCTTGAATACTTATTTAGATGCTTTCCTCTTCAGAATCAATACAAGCATAAACAAGGACATGATCCTCTATAGAACACAACTGTAAACACCTCAATTCGGCCTCACACCACATCGTGAAACTCACCCTGCCTAATCTCACAACAACATCTCACAACCACTGTATCCCCTCTCACAGCATCCATCCTCACTACCCAATCCCTTCCCTTTTTTCCGCCCTCGTTCGTGATTCACCTCTCTTGGTCTTAGTGCCTGACTCACTCGCCGACTAAAACCCCACCTCATCTACAAAACCCTCACCTTCACCCATAACCTCTTCCTCCTCCCTCACTTCATCCTGCAAACTCCATACCGAACATCATGGCTTACAACGTCCTCGTAACAGGCTCATCCGGCCATCTCGGCACAGCCCTCATGCTCTCCCTCCCGACATTCGGCTTCACACCGCTGGGCATCGACATCCTACCCTCTGAGAATACAACACACGTCGGATCAATCTCAGACCGCGAGTTTGTGACATCTCTTCTTCAGAAACACCCCATCAAGCATGTCCTCCACGCCGCGACGTTGCATAAACCTCATGTCGAGAGCCACTCCAAGCAAGACTTTATCGACACAAACATCACCGGCACCCTCGTTCTTTTGGAGGAAGCTTCTAAACTCGGCGCCCAGATCGAGAGCTTCATCTTCTTCAGCACAACAAGCACGTTCGGCGCAGCGCTGAGTCCCAAGCCCGGCCAACCCGCCGCCTGGATCGACGAGACCGTCGTGCCCATCCCCAAAAACATCTACGGCGCTACAAAAGTCGCAGCAGAAGATCTATGCTTCCTCATCCAGAAGCAAACAAACATGCCCGTCGTCATCCTCCGCACGAGCCGCTTCTTCCCAGAGCAGGATGACGATGAAGATCGCAGAGCAGCTGTCTCAGACGACAACCTCAAAGTGCTCGAGCTAGCTTATCGTCGCTGTGACATTGAAGACATAGTCCGCGCCGCAGTGTGCGCTATGAAGAAAGCGAGAGAGATCCAGTTTCGGAAGTACATCATCAGCGCGCCGCCGCCTTTTCCCAACGACGCTGACACGCTGGCGATGCTGGACAGAGACCCTAAGCAGGTGTTTGAGACTGTTGCGCCGGAGTGTGTGCAGGTCTTCAAGGATAAGGGGTGGAGCCACTTGAAGAGGATCGATCGGGTCTATGATTCTAGCAGGGCGGTGGAGGAGTTGGGCTGGAAGCCGGAGTTTACGTTCAACAAGGTCGTTGAGTTGGTTGGGGAGGGCAAGGAGTGGAAGAGTGAGTTGACGGGGAAGGTTGGCAAGAGAGGATACCATGCTGTCAGCCATGGTGTTTACACTGTTCGATGAATTGGCAGTCCGAGAATTGGCATTGGAGGAGGGGATACATCGAAAAGCTTCACGATGGTTTTGGGGCGAGACACAATTGACATTTATGATGCCGTATCCTTAGGGAGCAAGACATCGGTCAGAGCGTGATACAGGATGTTGAAATAAACTCAGCAAAAGAGATCCTAACTTTACCTTCAATTTTGGTATACTTAACTTATAATAAGTTACCTAATTCTTTCTACAATTTAGAATCGGGGTCCTAGTTTCTTTCCTCCCTTAGTGGTGTAAACAAATTTGTATTCGCCATGATGCTATGTCTACTAAAAACATCCCTCTAAAATTCAGGGTATCTATACAACTACACTCAACCAAACTTGATGCCAGAGTTGGGATTCCACGTCCCAGGTGCAGGAGGTTGCCCTGAACCAGCACCAGACTGACCAAACTTGATACCCATACCAGGAGTCCACATCGCACCAACCGGTGTTGGTTGCACTGGTTTTGGCTGCTGTACCGTCTCTCCCCAAGACTGTATGTTTGCCTGCGCTGGGCTCTGCACAGGTTGAGGGGGTTGTTGTGGTGGTGCATACGAGTGGGAGGGGTCTTGGTGTGACGGCATTGGGCTTTGGGCCGGAGGTTGTTGGTGAGAGATGTTGAGGTTTGACAACGTCGGCATGTTAATTTCCCTGTGATATCTATTAGTAAAAAGCCCGTAAAAGGTTGGTGAGAAACATACTCTTCTAAGGCTCGCGCCTCCATGCGACGCTGGGCAACCCAACCGCGAATAACATCACGGAAACCCTGCCCAACAATCTTATTCAAATCATTGTAAAACTTGCGCCCAACTTCGAGGTTGTTGATAATCTCCTTGTACTTAAAATAGGCGTTATCCAGCTTCTGCAAAGCCACCTCGCGTTCTCGGTTTCCGCGCTCACCCATCTGTCGCTTCTGAGACTCAAACTCGCGGTTAATACGCTGAACATCCGCCAACAGACGTTCCTGGTCCTTGGCTTCCTTGTCGATCGCTTCAACCTCGGGTTCATACAACTTGTCAAGTCGTTTGTCGAAAAACTCCTCAAAGTGAGCCGGGACAAGTGCTGTGTTAGGGTACGCTCGCTCCAGTCGGGCGGCTTCCTTCAAGATGTCCGGCTTGATGTCGTCGCGCCGGGCGTTTTCCCGCAAACTCTCAACCTTCTTGCGACGACGGCTCTCAAGACGAAGAACGTCGTTGTATGCGCCGCGCAATCTTCCTATGACAGGTTTCAGAGTCTCGTGTATGTCAACCCGTCGGCTCGACGGCACAGAGTCCATCAGATCTCGGTCCGGTCCGGAAAGGATAGCAAGCAGATCCTGGATCGCGCCGAACTTCTCCCTAACGACCGCATCGCTACTGACACTGCTCTGAAAGTAGCTCTCGATCTCAGAAGCGTGCTGCCAAAGCTTTCCACCCTGAGGATCTTGCCGACTCTCGGGTCGCACCCATCGGTCTGTTCCGTATCTCATCCGTAATCGCTGATCTTCCTCTTCTTCCGAAGCTAGAGCCGCTTTGCCCTCTTCAAAGATTGCCATATCTCCAGACCGCAACTTGTCGATATCCGCAAAGCCCTTTTGCACTCTACCAATGGCATCTGCTTGTCTAATCTCCTCAGCATGTTGGACCAAGCTAGGCGGTAGACCCAGAGGTTTCTCAAGCGCTTGTAAAGATCCAGGTAGCCCAAGCGATGTGAGAATTTCGTGTATCTTGTCTGTGAGAGATTCAAGTTCCGGAATAATATTCTGGCTAACCATGCGATCGCGTCGTTCTTCGTAAATTGATGTGGCGACGTGCACCGAGAAGGGGACAAGTCGAGAGAACAAAGCTGGTCCGAACTCGGCGTGGTCTCCAAAGTAATCATAGGGATTGGCAACTTGCGGTGGCACCCGAGCTACGGCCATGTTTGCGCGATCAAGAATCTTGAGCTCCGACTTTGGTGGTACAGCAACTGCAGATGTTAGTACTCAGCCAAGCAAGGGTCGCGGCGCACATACTCAGGTAAATAACATCATTATCCTTCTCTGCTCGCTTCAAATCTTCCTCAACCTTGCGCTTCAACCCATTGAGGTCATCAACCACCGTCTTGCCAAGATAGCCACTTCGGGCCTCCTTAATGCCCTCCGTCGCACAAGCAACAGCATCTTTGAGGCGCGCAACCTCCTCTCCATATTTCCGCTTCTCAAGACAATCGCACGCAGCTCGGTATTGCGCAGCAGCAGCGAAATGATGATGCTTGGCGCTCATGTGGTGGATCCAGGCACTGCTTATGGCTTCGCTCTTCATAGCAGCTTCGCCAGCAAAATTATACAGGTCGGACACTCGAGCGGCGAGCTTGGCGATTGACGCGTCTTTGTAGCCGTCCATAACGGCTTTCTGCCAGAAGCATTCTTGACTCTGGGCGAGGAGTAGTTGGATCAAGGACTCGAGTGTGTCGTGGTCCATGTCTTCGGGAGGATCGGACATTCGTAGTTCGGGGAGGATCTCTTTTTGCATGTGTGAGAGCACACCTGCAGCGAGGGAGAAGTAGTTCGCTGCTGATTTGAGACCTTCGGTGTTGCCTCGTGGCGTATTGATGGCGAGCTGGGAGTAGAGGGAGGCGAGGTTGTAGAGAATGTTCATAAGCTCGTACTTGAGGTTGTTTCGCACCATAGGGCGCTCAGTGTTGTATCCTAGCGCTGGATACCACGAGAATTCGGCGCCAATCTTTTCATCAACGTCAGTTTGTGCTGTTGACTATCATCGCGTGACACTCACATCTATAGGAAACTTGCCCCCCACCCAAACAAGCTGCCCGGCATACGCTTGTAGCTTTTTAATGCCACTTGGATGAGGCTCTCGAACGTTCACCGCATCGCGTCGAAGTGCGTCAATGACCTCGAGGTCATGCTTAAACATATCCGGGTGCTGATCATATTTGGTGTTGATATACTGCCGAATCGTCGAAGCAAGCGACAACTGGGCCGACTTGCGAAAGGGGATGGAAAGGATGTTTCTGAGGGACGAAATGTTAGCTGATAAATCCAGGTAGCTCGACATAACTGGGCCTTCTTACGACGACATGGCTTCGTTTGCGAACCTGACTTTCGGGTTCGCTTCTTGAGCCTTTGTGTTGTAAAGTCGGCTTTTTTGCCAAGATCGCTGGGCTAGAGTTGCAATGACTTCATCAGAGCTTGGAGCTTGTGGAGGCGCCACGTTGGAGGGGCAATGACATACGATGTGGCGCAGCAGCCGCTACCCTGGAGTCCCTCGAAGAGCAAGAAAGTACATGGAAGACTTTAGAAGAGGATGATGCTAAATAAACTTGGTAAAGAGTCTCTAATCTTAGACGAAATCTTCTAAGTCTTGTTATCCCTTATAACAAAGGGTCCTAAGTTTTCTTGGCTCCCCTGGAAGTGGTCATGCTGCGTTTCTATGTTTGGGCCGAAGACATGGTGTAATTGAGACACTAGATGGTCTCTATCATTAAACATTGGAGATGTATCCTACCTGATTCGACAGACAGACAGAGTACTAACTGTGCAATGTACCAGGATCATCGGTGATTTTATTCACGTACTTCATACATGCTTCTGTTCAGATCATGAAGTTCACATAGAGTTCAGTAGATCGTGTTCGTGCTCAAATAATGTAATTGTGATTTTGGCTAAACTACTCGAAATTCATAGCGAGAGACTGATCAAAATATTACCTCCCTCACTCGTGGTATCTCATTAATATCCATCCTCATCTCTAGCGATACTTTACATCTCCAACTTCAGGTCGGTGAACTCCATCATCCACATATCCCGGAGGCTGTGTCTGTCCCGCACTAGCCCCCGACGCCACCGGCGCCGAAGTGGGGTCCCGATCGGTCGGAGACACGGAATTGACCTTGAGAGATCCGACCTCAGCACCCTTCAGAGTCTCGAGAAGGTTGCGAGCACCAGCGGGCCACATGCCACTCTGGCGGGGGACCTCTCCTCGGATGATCTGCTCGACTGAGACGCGCTCGCCGTAGAATGCGGCATTGGCATCCTTGCGCTCGACGACGACGGTGCCGTCGACTTGAATGCCTGCGTAGAAACCGCGGGACTTGACGTAGGAAAAGACAGGCTTGAAAGCACCGGTGCTCAGGCTGCGGCGCTTCTTCTTCTTGTCGGCGTCGGTCTCTGGCTTTAGGCCTTGGTTGTCCTCGGTAGGGCGGGGAGGCTTGGGAGGAGCCTCTTCGTCCTTGTTCTCCTTGTCCTTCTTCTTTCCGTCCATAGCGGCACCAATCTCGACAGCACCTCCGGCGCCGTATGGACCAGCGACAACAGCAAGGTCGCTGCCCAGGGCAACGCGGGTCTTGGCGAAGGCGTTGAGAGCCTCTCGGCTGTTGATGACACAGACACAGTCGTAAATATCAAGACCGATCATGAAACCAGCGCCAACGGAGTGGACCTGGATACCTGAAGGAGGGCCCCATGATCCATCGGGGAGGCGAGAGATCAAGATACCTGAACCAGTGGCACCGGAGAAAGCGTAGCCGGCACGAAGGGTTGTGAAGATAGCGAGACCTTGTGCCTTGGCGATGACCTTGGGAGGGATGTTGACAAGAACTCTCTTCTTGGGCTTCTCTTTGGTGGGATCGATGATCTCGTCATTAGTCTCCTGTGCCTTGGGGTCTGTGGATGTGGGGACCTGGCTAGAGCTAGGATCAGCGTAGACACCGTTTTCTAGAGTATGTTAGCGGATGCTCTGGTCAAGCTGTATGGGTAACTTACTGCAGAAGGACTTCAGAATAGAAGCTGCCTTGTCGCACTCCTTGTCGATAGTCTCGGGGAGGAAACTCTGGCTACCAAACTTGTGCGCCAAGCTGTTGATAGGCGCAGCGGCCTTGATACCAAGCTGGCTGAACTTCTCGCTCCAACCCGGCTTCTTGTGTGTCTCAGGATGCGCGGAAGTCGAAGCCTGGGTTGTGGTTGTCTCTGGACCATGGCCGAAACCGTGGCCATGTGTAGGAGCTGTCGGGCTTGGCTGAGGCGAAGCCTGAGCCTGAGCAGGCTGATTTGTAGGAGGGGGCGCAAAGGTAGGATGAGCAGGGTCGTACTGCGGAATAGCGTAATTTTGCTGGGCCTGCTGAGCGTCAGAAGGCTGGTGAGTCTCCTGATGCTGCTGAGGCACAGTGACTGGATTGCCCTGGAGAGGGTTTGGGTGAGCAGTGGAAGCTTGGTGTTGATCTTGCGCAGGAGGAGGACCGGGAGGAGGGGGAGGGAAGTACTGCTGCTCTAGCTGGCGCTTCTCCTCTGCAGCACTGGGATATTGCTCGGTTCCGGCAGTAGACGAAAACGGAGGAGGTTGCTGCTGGCTCTGGGATCCTGCGAACTGGACATGTTGATCGGGATTTTGGGGTACGCGGGGCTTCTCGTCTCCAGGAAGCTCAGCAGATCCTTGGTTGTATGCTGGAGGCAGAGAGGAGTCTTGAGGTTGATTCTGGGAAGGGTCGGCGGTAGGGAGCAGACCACCTCCATGCTGGTCGCCAGCGGAATACTGGGGAGCTTTCTCAGGATTCGACATCGCGATTATAGGTAGTAATGTAAAGCTGTAGGTGTTGTTGTAGTTGTAAGGTTTAAGGTTGAGAGTCAATGGCGGGGTAGCTTCGTGTCAGGTATAAGAGAGAAAGTGGACTGAATCTTGAGGTTCTGGGTGGAAGATGTCTTTAATAGACGAATGGGTATTTATTAGGGACGATTCACTGATATGAGAGGCCTCGTCACTTCTAGACTCATTGAGTGGCGTACGAGACAATTCGAAACCGGTTCCATGAACTGCAAGGAACCATCCCCCGATTCTGTGACAAGCCGCACGGGATTGATGTCATCATGGTGGCTTGGCGATAAGGTGCTTGCGTGGCTGAAGTTCAGGGTCCTACACAGCCACGACGTCAACCAATGCGAGCACTTGCACCGTAAACCAGAGGGAAATTGTTGAGGAGCATGTGAAATTGTGGAAATACTCAAATGGCGGCGATGGTGACTTATTATCTAGATATTTTGTAGATACCGCGTCTTGGATGATGCGCTGGCGCCCGGAGATCATCGCTGTTTTTCGGATCCCGAAACGGGTGTCGTTCGGGGAATGCTAGGGAAGCTTACCCGATCCTCGGTTTAAGCTTACACAAAGACCGAAACACTCTCTTGTAATCTTTATTTCGCAACCGTGATAATCGCACATTCTCTTCAGTTCTTGAGAGTGACATTTGTCACTAACACAACAAAATGACACAAATACAAACCTCCAGCGATCCAGAGACTCTCCATCTCCCCCGCATTCTCTGCCTTCACGGCGGCGGCGTCAATGCACAAGTCTTCGAACTACAATGCCGCGCTCTCATCAGAACTCTCGCCTCATCTCTCCGTCTAGTCTTCATGCAAGCACCCTTCATCTCAGCGCCTCACCCCGACATTGTAAGCGTCTACGGTGAATACGGCCCTTTTCGGCGCTGGCTCCGCTGGCAGCCCGACCATCCCGAGATTGAAGCAGAGGCCGCCGCCGAGCTACTCCGGAGCCAGACCCGCAGGGCTATGGACACCGACCCCGGCACCGGAGAGTGGATCGGCATTCTGGGGTTCTCGCAGGGCGCTAAGATTGCGGCGAGTTTGTTGTGGACGCAGCAGAAAGTCACGGAGCAGTTTGGTGCGGATGAGGCGCTGACGCAGTTCAAGTTTGGTGTCCTCATGGCTGGGAGAGCGCCTTTGATCACGCTGGATGCTCGACTGCAACATCCTCCGGCGGTTGTTGATGCGGCGCTGTTGAGCTCTGAGTTTAAGGACTTCCCCGAGTCGAATGTTGGCGACCATGTTTTGACCATACCTACACTACACGTCCACGGACTTCGGGACCCTGGACTCGAACAGCATCAGATTTTACTGAAGACTTACTGCGCAACTGGTACGACGACACTGGTCGAGTGGGATGGTGGGCATCGGATACCGATCAAGAGCCACGATGTCGATGCCGTGACAACAGAGATCATGAAGTTGGCAAAGAACGCGGGCGTGAAGCTGCCCAATTAGAGTCTCCTCTTGTAGAGTTTCTTTCTTTATATTTGAGGAAGGGTATATGATTCGCTAGAATACTTATAGATGTCTGACGGATAGTACACCAGGAGGTATACGATGGAGAGTCAACCCAGCCTGTTCATAGATGATACCTTATTCTGTGTTGCAAAGCAATAATTCCAGATCCATATAACTAACCTAATTCCCTCTATTCAATTCTGAAACTGTTAACTTTTAGACATCTAACGTTGCCTAGATATTGATCCCTCCTTGGTTCTTTAGGCCAACATCTTTGAGCTCCTTCTTGACCTCTGCAAACAGCCTTTATCACTGTTGTTGCTGTTCCTGTTGGTTCCAAGAGTCGATGATCGCATGATATGTGATGTATGATGACAATGACGGTGCTGGCGGCAATGGTCTCGAGCGCAAAACCGAATTTTCGTTGATGATCTGCCGCAGCGAGACAGGTCTCGTGACCTCAGTTAGAAGTCCCAGCTGGCAGATAGCATCGCCGTGGCTTCGAATCCTACTTGGATCGATCCAAGAGGTTTGTATGGCGACCTTGCTATGGCTGTGCAGGTGAGCAACCATATCCCAAGCTTCCACAACTCCAGTCCCGAGAACAAGCTCCGATGTCCCCCGTGTAGCAATGATAGCTGGCTGTCCGTCTTTTCGCGCCCTCTGGTAGCGAAAGAGCATCGCTACTCCTTTTCTGCCGTTCCAAAGCTCCATTATCCTAAGTCTCGGCATCCTAAGTGCAGTGGCGGCAGCATTCTGAAGCATTTTATTGATATGCAATGAGTCTGCATCTTCAGTGAGGACGTTTGAAGTCAGCGTCAGTGAAGTAAGCTTTTCCCACGTCCATGAATCGTGAATCTGGGGCGCCAAGAAGAATTCTCTGGCATCGGCCATAAACGAGGCTGATAGCGTCTCAAGGTGTTGGCTCGTGCGAGCAAGCTTCAGGCTCACATCTTGACTTGGCACCCTGATAGCGGGAAGGCTGATAGCGGGAGTCCGGTATATTTCCGTGTAAGACTCATCAAAGTTCTCGAATATTGTCAACTTGCATAGTGATCCAATTTGGGGAAGACTTCCGATCAGCTTCTGGTTCCCTGTTTCCGGACGGTTAGCAGCTGCATCAATTAACCTGTCAGGGATCAAGCAAGCACTTACATTTATCGGTCTGCTTTTCCATTCCACCCAATTCTCTCCAAGGTTCATAACAGACCTCCTTTATGTTTGGGAACCGTGTAAGCATATTGGAGATTGCGAGTGGCTTCCATCGTCTGCGAGTCTGTTGACGGAAGAGCACGACTCCAACGACAGGCACACAGGGGAGACTCCGCCACCACTGCATCTCTGTTTCGTCATCATGGAAAGGTCCCTCACCCATGATCTCGTCAAATACGTGCTCGATGGCATGTTCATCCGGAGCAACGATAGGCTGACCGACAACCCAGCCATGAGCTGGGTCGTTCACGGTGACTCCTTGTTGCTGTCCATGATGAGAGGGCTCGTATTTGTTGGTGTCTGAGGAGAAGGTTATGTACTTGAACCAGTGCTGGTTGTCACTGGGCGAGTAGATGCTGATATCGAGGACCAAGTCTCCACGGGTCTCCCATGCGCTCAGTGTTGTGAACAAGTTTTCGAGCGCGTCCACGATAAATTGGTTGTCAACTTCGTCCAAGCCCCATTGATCCTGGTCGGCGTTCGGACATTGTGTGCAATCGTACTGCTTCAGTTCCATCCGAAACCAGATATAGCGAATCTGGTTCCTCTTTCTAGTCAGAATAGCTTTAGAATTAAGGTCAGTAAGGCGTGGTACCGTAAGACTGATGTCGGCAAAGTTGAGCGGCTCGATAATTGATCGCCAAGCTCGGGAGATGGTCGCAAGTTGACTGCACTTCCCGCCGAGAATTGGCAGCAGACCAACAATCTCACTCTGAACCTGGGGAGGGAAGCGATCCCAGGGTATTCTTTCCGTCGCCATTTTTGATCCGGCTTGCAGAAGGTTGAGTGTCAAAGATAGCCGTTCGTGTAGATTGAGGAGAATTTGATGCTGTACAGCTCGAGGTTTGGGCCTGTGCTTTGAGGTTGAAGAGATCAAGATCGAAAGCCGGCTACTACTGCCCTTTTATACCTGATCTCGCTTGACTCATCCATGACTTTGGGTCTTTGACTTTCAGCCGCAAAACTTACACAAACTACGTCTAAGCTCACCTTATCTTGTGTGTTTTGCTGTAAGCTGGGTTATCTTCATGGAGGAGCAGCAGGCAGACACTTATTTATACACCTTAAGATTGACTCATCAGAATATCTAGCTTTTCAGCCAAAGGTAAAATCTTAGGCAACAGTAAGGGCGATGAGTATTACCGGTTCCTTTGTGCCTTGGTGGCTGAAGCCTCTTTTAAACTCTCAACCTGAACACACTACAAACTCACAAAACCAAGTGTCGACTATGGGCCCAAGCTACTACAACTATTTAATCAATAGCTGAGTATTAGACCTTTATTTTATTTCTGATTCAACTAACAATGCTGTTGAAGAAAGGGGTCAAAGCATCCATAGCTGATACTCAACTTCGTAAGGTTATATAGTATTATCAGAACGATCGTTCGAAACCTCGCGGAATTATCCTGATTTCCTCCAGCCCCTTAATAAGTGTCACTCAACTTTCAAAGCCTCTGAAGAACAATAAAACATAGCCATTGCCTTCGCAGTTGCCTAATGTCTTACTTTGGGCTGAGAAGCTAGATATTCTGATGACTGACACGACCAAGAAGTACAAACCAGTTCGAAGTATTGATGCGCGATACCATTCTGCTCAGAGAGTTGACTTGGATGGAGGGCCTCAATCTCATGCGACCCAATTGAGACATCGAATCAAGACTGGAACCAACACGTCAAGAAAAGGACGATCAACAAATCGTTTAGGAGCCAATCCATTTCACTGCAGGTGGGCCTTGGCGCCGCTCTGCATTATCAGACCTCGAATGAAAAGAATGCATGGGTTGCGTAAGCACGCAAAAAACTTCGACAGCCCTCACGAAAGCGGTCACTTCTCTCAACGCCCAACTTTTACGCTTTCGTGTCTCTATTATCGGCTGTTCGTGTGGCTATAACATCTAGCGCCTACATATTCTGAAATGGCTCTTACTGACCCTGCCACAACTGGCGCTATCAACTCTCGGCATGCATCATCGCCTGTCATACAATCTTGCAATTTTTGCACTGCTCTTGAAAAGCTCCTTGCGGACGATGAAGTTGAAGTCAGGCTGGAAAAGGATGAAATATGCGAACAGTCCTGCACAGCTCACGTGCCTTTGTTTCACTGGATCGAGACAAATTATAGCGAGCATCTCGATCGTCTAGAAAAGGCTCGCAAGTACCAGATCGTGGCTGATAAGGGTTACGCCCTTGGTACAATCTTTTTCTTCCGTGTAAGCGGCCGAACTCCTTGGCTCCGGGTATATAGCAGGATGGGCAACAGATATGGGTCTTATGAAGTCCTTCTCCATTCAAAGATCTCCCAAGAGGAGAAACGATCCGACTACTCTTCCAGTGCGCTAGATCCGGATTGGGTTGACTTGGGCATTGTGAAAGAGTGGAAGGAAAGGTGTTCCAAAGAACATGGATTAAAATGTCAAAACCCCGAGGAGAAAGATGTTTCTCCTGCATGGCTTATTGATACCGAGGATGACTGCTTGGTGTCAGGTACAGACAATCACTCATTTGTAGCCCTGAGCTATAGATGGGGTTCTTCAACAAATCAAAAGATAGACAAAGACACGTTTGAGCAACTAAAGTGTCCTGGCTCGTTATCACGGATCAAGAAGTTTGTCACAGCCACTGTTCGGGACGCGATTCACACCGTTCGTGCGATCGGTGAGCGCTACTTTTGGGTTGATGCGATATGCATAGCCCCAGACAATAAGGAGGAGCTGGCCGAACAATTGCAACTTATGGGTGGTATTTATGCTTCTGCCAAGCTCACAATTGTTGTGCTCGATGGAGATTCCAGTAATGGTATCATGGGGCTCAAGTCTCAGTCATCGCCGCGAAGTCTGGCTCACATATTTCCCTGGAAAGATGGCAAAAGTGTCATGGTACGACAATTGCCTTCCTTGTCCGTGCAAAGTCAAGTGGTCTCCAAATACTTCCAACGCGGGTGGACGTTTCAGGAGTATACATTATCACAAAGACGACTTATCTTTGGTGATCAGCAGATTCATTGGCAATGCTCATGTGCAACCTGGCATGAGGACCTCCCTGGGCTGGAAGACCCTACACACTCCCTTAAGTTTCCTAATATTAAACAGGGATGGCCAGATTTCAAAGAATTCAACGTGCTCCTGAATGAGTATAATAACCGACAGTTGACGTATCCCGAAGATGCATTTCCAGCCGTCAATGGTCTCCTCACCTATCTCGAGAGCTTCTCGTTCGAGTGTGGGTTCCTTTTTGGTCTCCCCAGGGCGTTCTTTGACGCCGCTTTGATGTGGTCCTACAATATCGATCCAACTCGTATCGATGTCCGTACAAGACGCGGTATCTATCGACGGAAGCCATCTGAGAGACGTCACTCAGTCCTCCCAAATACACACCTACCCTCGTGGTCTTGGATCGGTTGGCAAGGAGATAGTATCGGGATGCTGGACACAGAAGCTCAATTTAAGTGGTCTGACTGGACCCTCGATTCGGGTAGTGGGCAATTGGCCAGTTTGATGCGGCCCTCAGTCATCACAACGCCCATCACGCAGTGGTACAACCATGCATCTCGTGATGGAAGCGACAAGCAACATATACCGCGTTACCCAACAGTCTACAATGAGTCCTCAGAGATCTCATATGACACAGAAGTCTGGAGCGTGGAAGGTCCAATGGAATATGGCTACATACCAAGGGAAGCTGGGGGGAAGTACTCATACAAACACGTAAACTTTCCTCGAAGGAGCTTCCTGTGGCCTGTCCCAAATTCGTGCTCAAAAAACCATGGAACAGCGCCAAAACTTGGACATGGTCCCTTCATCTCGTGCCGCACGAAGCGCGCCTGGTTTGGAGGTGTTCGGACGTATGGCCACAGTCACCAAGTGTGGATGAGTACTCAGTTAAGCCTATTTGACAAGCAAAGGAGACTTTGCGGCTGGCTCCAACTACCGCAAGATGAAGATTCACTTAGCTTTCCTAGGGCAGAATACCGAAGCACGCCTGTTGCTGTAAAAGACATATTTAGGGATCCATTTCCAGAATGCAATCAGTTACTTGAGTTGGTGGCAATCTGTAGACGCAAATTTCCAGACAATAATTTCGGACAGAAATGGGTGAATTGGGAAGACTTTTATGGTGTTCTATGGGTGGAATGGATTGAAGGGGTTGCTTACAGACGAGGCTGTGGATATGTGCAAAAGGAGCTTTGGGAAGAGCAGGATCTGGAAGATATTGACCTGGTACTTGGCTAGATTTTGCTGAAAGGTTTATTCAGCGAGATTCAAGAGACTATCAGGAAATTCGGACTTTCAAGAGAGCTTGTAAGTTGATATGGGAAGTTGATGCAAGAGATAGTGCCCCGCATTCACCATCTACTAAGGCCCTCGAATATGTCAAAGGCCACTCAACACAAGATTACCACAGCATACCCGACAGACAAAACACCAAAAGAAACTAGCAAAAGAAACATACAACACCGGGGATTCGCTGGTCGTCACCGACCCAACTACTGATCTCTATGGGAGAGCAGACGGGATCCCGTGTTCTCCACGAGCTATGGTCGTATGTGACAGCCGATGCACAAACTCGGGTGATTCCCGGAGACGCTGGGTAGAGGGATATGCGATGGCCATGGCCTGCTGTAGTAGTGCACTGAAAGTTGTATGCCAAGAAACAACTTTCGGGTTTAATGATTGTGATCGACAACTAACTATTGAAGGAGTGTATCTTCTTTCGACATCCGGCCCCAGTGTAACATCTGTCTCTGGACAACATAACAAAAGAGTTCGGAACAACAGCAAACGAAACACTCTATGAACGACTTAGTGAGGCCTCAATCCTCATAATCCACATTTGGCCCACCCACGGCAACATAGACGCCAGTGGCAGTATTCAAGACGGAATCCAGCCAGCTGTCCAAATGCCACACCATACCGTCCTTGGTCAGAGACGAGTGACTAACGCGGAGACGTAGGTTATGGCCGCACTCGAAATCAATCCCGCTGATGGCCATCATCATAGCTGGGGCACTCTGGAATCCAGCGTGAGCGAAATCAATGGCACCAGCGTTCTCGGACCCCGGGATATCATCGGTGCAGAAGGAGCCGGCAGTCATGCCCTCTTTGCCCGCTGGGATGGCCAGCCAGGTAACAGTTGCGTCGCGAAGGTCCGTGTCAGGTCCAGCTTCGACATGAAGCTGAAACTTGAATTGGCTGACATCAGTTACGTACGTCTTGACGCGCCATGGCGAGTCCTTGCCAAGGCTAAGTCCGGTGAACCACGCCACGAAAATAGGGGCTTGACGTCCTTCGAAGCGTTGGTCAAACTTGATGGAGGTAGACGTCTTCCCTCCAACGGGCTTACCCTTGCTGCTCCAGGTAGAAGCAATGTCCCACAGGCCAACCTTGATGTCGGGCTCGTTGACTGACGCTTCTAGCCACGAGCATGCCGCCGAGTAGACATTGAACCCAGCACCAGGAGTTATCCCAACAGTGAAGTGGTCCACTGACACATCCTCAGCCGTAGTCTTGACGCAAATATCAGTTTTGTAGTCCAGATCTAGCCAACTCAAGCCAACTGCGACTTGAGGTGGTTCAATGTAAGACGGCTCAAAAGCCATATCCTGCTGAACAGGGTCGGAGCTGAAGGTGTCGAACGGTCGCACCTCTGTTTTCCTCGCAGAATTGTCAGTCATATCTTACACAATCCTTGTTGCCAACATTGGATACCAGGAAAAGCTACGAGGAAAGTACTTACGTAGCGTACTGAATTGACCAATGTCACTCGACCAAGGAGGATAGGTATTGGCAATCCATTTCTTGTCTCTCTCGGACAATCTAGTATTGTTCTTTGTGCCACCAGAGACACTGTTCTTGAACCAGCGTGCGGGATATTTGTATAGCATGATAGAATCAGCGTCGAACAAACTAGCGCTAACTTCGCTACTTTCAAGCCGTTTGATCACATTGTGGTCGATCGTGGCGCGAGACCAGCTGTTGGGTGGTTTGCTGAGCTCCTCATAGATAAGATCTTTGTTCCATTCGAAATCCGCAAGTGGAGATTCTATTCATACCATATCAGTTACGTCTTGTTTGTTCCACCTATCGGAAAAGATACATACGATTCTCGTGTTCACAACCCAGTACGTGGCCAAACTCATGAAGCACTTTGCGACGAATGAACTCTTCAAAATGTCTCAGGTTGATGTCGAGGTTCATCGTCCTTTTCTCCTGGTTTTTCTCCGAGAGAGCATCGGTGCCAACATGAGAGCTTGACCCTCCCCCTTGCTTAAAAGTCGATGCGAATGTCTAGCTTGGAAGCGTCCATGGGGAGCCTGTATAGGACGCAATGTTAGCCAATATACACAACCTTCAAGAGTTTATTAGAGGGTTTACCATGAGAATTTGAGGTTGGCGTTAGCGAGCCACAGCTCGGCATAGCTTTTTACCTTCTCTTGAAGACGGAGTGACCTTCGTGAACATATGCGCAGAGAACAGGAATCGCCACTGCGCATAGAGATTAACCGCCGGCTCGACAAGATGCAGCAACTTGATATGGACCAGCGCCGTGGCCTTGCCAAGTTACGGGATCAGTTACATGCATGGCAACAATCAACAAACAAACAATACGGAGCAGGCCTGAAATTACTGCAATCGCAGCTCGGGAAATTCGAACGACAAGCCGAAAAACGGGGAAATCTTCAAGAGACCCAAATCAAAAATTTAGGAGACCTACTCAAGTTCATCACTGATCAATATGAATTATTACAGAGCTTCACAAGACTACAACATCAAGATCTCGGGGTTGGATTTGAGCCTAGGGACAGGTGTATTGTTGCTCAATCCTACCTCGGATACGTTTCTAAGCGAAGAGGAAATCCAAATCTCAGAGAGAGTTAAGAGCATCAAACAGGAAATTCTCAAACAACAAGTCATCTTGCGAAGCACAGAGCTGAAGAGATGGGAAATCGAGTTGGTTATTCAGCAAACTGACAGATGGCGCTCAAGCATATATGACATGCAAAGGCAGAAAAAGATCAACTGGAAGATCCTAAAATAATCTCTCGAAGCCCAACTTGAATGGGTCCAGCTCTGGCGGGATATGGTAGCTTGGGAAGCCAAGAAATGGCATGATCTTGTCTTTACTCAGACCGGCACACCTCCCCCGGCTCTCCAGAACTGAATCTGCTCAGCCTAGAGGGAATTTGCTGCCTAACCATACTGGAGACGCCTTTGGATAGTTCAAGAGGTGATCCTGGCATTAGAGTTGGTTTTGTGTTTCGGAGACGACTCCAAGACCACCAAACCTTGGGATCTACTCACTAGAGCCCGAGTCTCTTTGGAGCAGATGCCAAGCTACTGGAAATTCAGTCCAGCTGTCAGCGCATCTATAAACGAGATCACGCACACTTTCCCGCTTCGATAGGGCAAACTACGAAAGGATAACAGTCGATCCTGGCTAATACACAAGGTTGTGGATATTACTATCAACTCCTTGTGTCGCGATCCTAAAGACAAGGTATACGGTCTTCTTGGAATTCCCAGCGGTTTTCAATTTGGAGATTTCGACGTCAGATACCAGGATCGGGTGGAGGATGTTTATCGGAACGCGATTCCATGGTATCATTCAAAGTATGGCAAGGACATAAACTCTCCCAACCTTGTGAGTTTTAGCCAGCTTTTGCAACTGTCGCTCAAGAATGCCGGTTCCTCGCTGTCGCTCGATGGGAATCGTTTGTCGGTAACCACGAGAAGTCTCTGCATGAAAAGAATCATCACTATCCCTATTCTACCCATTGAGAAATTGATGGGGGACGAAGACTTATGGCAAACACGACCTCGGGACTGGATCAGTACTCTAGTTGAGTTATCTCGACGATTCGGGTTTTGGGGGCAAAAGACAGCCTTGGAGGAGGAACTGTTGTATCTTGACTCAGTCAGTACGACTTTATCCATGCCGACTTCTTCAGCATACGCAGGTACGAAGGAAGACGTGTCCAGCGAAACCGGCTCAGCGACATATCCCTCCCGTAATAGACCACGACAACAGAAAGAACCGCTTTTCTTCGTGACTGACGGAGAATCTTAGTAATCCAATGGAGCGGTGCACGCAAGATCCAGGAGTGCTCAATAGCATCCGATCTCATCATCTGACAGCCTATAGTATAGGATGTTTCTTTAAGCAGATTAGCACGCCGACGTTAAATGGATCAGCGCCCCTGCAGGGTCGAGGACACCGTCATGCCTCTAGTATTGAGCCTACGACAAAGACTAATGGTCATCCATTGTACGGCGCTATCAAAGTGGTTTTCATTTATTTTGTCTTTCTTCAGCACAAAGGGTCCTCATGAGGCGCTACTACACATCCTTTCGTATCTGGGGATATCGGCACTCAGTTTCACGATAAGCGGCAGAACCAGCCAGACAAATACCGAAATCGGTTTATCTATAGAGACTACTTATTTAAAGTGCTCGGCAGATGTATAAGTGGTTATGGCCGATTATGGCTTCAGATCTTGTTGCATTTCCGAAATGCTCTCTGTCTTTGGCTACATAACTACCCCAGAGCGTGCCTAAAGCTCTCTTCAGCTACTGGAGCCTTGGGGGGGGTGAAGTGGGCCCGGCTGTGGAGGCGATCCCGACCCTGGACAACGCGGCGACGCTCTCTTAGGTAGGGGAAAACAGCGGAATGGCTTACACCAAAAAAAGCTGATCCCCGACCAAAGTCAAGTCTGCCCGCTGGAGGCAAGACGTTGAACGTTTGGTCCTCCAACAGGCCTATCAAGTTAAGCATGCGGGGCTAGAAGAAGGTCGATTGCCGATGCTCGCGTAGACGATCCGGACAAGTCAGGTGGAGCCTTAGACGGCGTGCGGCTTCGGAGGTTTGCACAAGGGTGGAGCGCGGCGATGCTCACTTGCATCCCGGTTACATTCTCAGTCTTATTTGGGCTAGCTTAAACCTGTCAATAAGACGTTAGGTAATGCCTGATTGCACTGGAGACACCGTGCGTCAGGCAAAGAAGCTGAGCCTCTCTGCCTCTTCAGGCCTACCACTTTTGTCATTTGGCTGGAGTAGCGACCTCAGTTTAGTACATTTTTTGCGAAGCAATTAATGAGCGGCAAGGCGGTGTGCCATGTTGCGTTCTCTTCAACCTCGACGTTGATAAACTCATCTTCCGCATCGCCAGAATCTATCGGCTCAGCGTGAACCTCGCTGTCGATCAAATGTCTTGGCTTCCTAGGATTCTCGTTTGTTGATTCAGCCGTGCCCCGCATGATAGTGGAGGTGTTGTTGGTTCTCTCATCAGGCTGAGGAGCCAGGGTTTTATCCTCTTGTTGTTGCCCAATCGGACAGTGGCCAATTTCTCAAAGAATCCAGAATGAACTGATGTCCGGGCTAACTCCAACGCCACAGCTCGTCATTGCACAGACTTTGACAAACAGAGTTGAAAGCTGAACGCCCTGGATCGAGCTTCACGAACCATCTCCATAAAAGGGACAAACTTCATTGGACTGCATTCGTCGAAAGGGCTGCGACTGTGGGCAATTGCAAGGGTACATTACGGACCATGGGCTGCCAGGCGATGCTGATCTGCTTAGCACTCTCCGTGAAGGGCGCAGGGTTATGATAAAGCGCTAAACATGCCAGGGGCCCTGGGCCTTGCAACCACGTGCCACCGTTTTTTGTTCAACCCGTTTTCTCCAACCCTCCAAGTCCATATCACAAGAGTAGAACTTCGTCGGTCTAAACCACCGCAAGAAGGCGGTTCAGGATCACCTAATAGAAAGGATCTTCCTCAGAATACAGGTAAAGAGACTCACTGGTTCTCTGTGAAGGGCACTGCAATCACTACAGCCGATAAGCGACAAGATAGAGAGCTCCAAACCACGGAGTGATTATTGAGGCTCTCGAGCTGTATCTTGAGGCTGACTCCAAAAATTAACTTTCTTGAGGATATCCACTCTGATGTGATGTGGGTCACCTGTATGTGAGGTCTTTCCATTAGATGGTTTCGCAATGCTAGAATACGGGTTGGTTCATCATGTCCGGAAGGGGGACCAACAATGTGATGCGGCTGGACAATGGAAGTGAGATAACATGTCGGCGGCGCTTTAAAATCAGGGAGTCCGCTTCGCAGTGAAGGAACAAGACGTGTATTTACCAGCTTATCTTGTATTCTGGTCAACCCTTTCCTGGCCACTTTTTCACTCTTCCTGACACCACTGGCGATATGGTTCCTCCAGCCTCTGCCTTGATGCCCACCGGGTATATGCCAATTGACACAGTCGCAGACGCCTGTGCAGTTGTCACTCAGTGTATCAATGGAGATCTACAGCTGGTTACCCACGACCCGGACAATCGAGAAGCTGCTCAATTCTTATGGCAGAACGCAGTCTTTGTCTTTGAAGTTCTGGACCAAGTGTCTGGCCCAACCGCATTCTTTGAGGAATCCGGACCCAGATTTCGCATCACAGATATTCTGAGTGACACTCGATCCAATCTCAGACGGAAATCTATAACAATCATGATGAACGGTCGAAGATATTGTGTGGTTGTGATTTGCAACTCGCAGAACATGACGAATTCGAATCTGCAACCCAGACAAGAGAAACCTTATGGGCATCCTGATTCGCAGTGGCCCTCAGAGCTGAAACTACCCAAAATCCAGGTGCCACTTCAAACACATGCAGCAACATGGGAGGCTGCTCTTCAAGATATGAGAGATTCAAGAGTGGAACAAAGACTACACGACAGCGTTGAAGATAAGAGGGCAATTTCAGCAGTGCCGAGACTTGAGCGGGGATCAGTCTTTGGCCTCTAAATGTCATTTTTGTATGAAGTTTTAGTAATTAGTAACTAGGATCCTGAATCTCTCATAAAGTCGAATGAACTTCGCAAATCCTGCGTGACGTAGCTGCCAGATCAGCCTTGTCCAGGACATACCTCTCGCATCAATAGCGCGTTAGATCGCTAAGGTAGGTTTCATCTTTCCCAGCACCGTCTACACAAAAATGCCAACGGGTTTCGCTCTTTCGAGGACAGCTAGATGGGGGTTGTGCAAGAGTGTCTCCATGGCCATTGCTTTACGGGTGGAGAGTCCAGAGGCGTCAAAGTCCACAACACGCAATCACCGGCTCGGGCATGATTTCGGAAGGCAGCAAGATAAATCAAGGCAGCTGAATATGCCCAGCCGCTGGTTTCCTCGCGCTTTTCCTCG